CTTCACTTTTAGTTTGTGTATGTCTTTCAATCTGAAATGTCTCCTGTAGGCAGCAGCCAGATGGGTCTTGTTTCTTTATTCATTATGCTATTCTATGAATTTTGATTAGTGCATTCAGTCCATTTACATTTAAGGTAATTATTGGTAGGTACACTTATTGCCATTTTATTGTTTTATGGTTGTTTTTACAGGTTCTCTTTCTTCCTTTCTTACACTCTTCTCTTGTTATTTGATGGCTTTCTTTAATGTTGTGGTTAGATTTCTCCTTTTAAATTTTTTATGTATCTTTTATAGGCTTTAGTTTTGTGGTTACCAAAAGTTTAAGGATAGCTTTCTGACTATATAACAGCCTACATTAAGTTGCCGATTGCTCTATTTCATACAAAATATAAAAGTACTTGTCTTCCTCTTCTTCCTTCTCCATACTTTATGTATTAGATGTTATAATCTGTATTTTTTGTTTATCTCTTGACTGATTTTGTATATAGTTGGTTTTACTACTTGTTTTAATTTTCTACTTGCTTAGTAATTAATTGGTCTATCCTTACTGTGGGTTTGGTTTCACTGGTGTAAAATACTTAGCCTTAGGAACATTTCCATCCACAGCAGTTCCTTTAATATATCCTGTAGTGCTTGTTTAGTGATTATAAATTCCTTGAGCCTTCATTTATCTGGGAATTGTTTAATCTCTGCTTCAAATTTGAATGATAATCTTTCTGGGTAAAGGATTCTTGGTTGAAGACCTTATGTTTCAGTATATTAAATATTTCATACCACTCCCTTCTGGCCTGTAAAATTTCTGCTGAGAAGTCTGCTGATAGTCTGATGGGACTTCCCTTATAAGTAATCTTTTTTCTCTCTCTGCTTGCTTTCAGTACTCTCTGCTTATCCTTAATCTTTGTCATTTTAATTATTGTTTGTCTTTGTGTTGCCTTCCTGGGGTTCCTTTTGTTTTGGGCTCTCTGTGCTTCCATGACCTGAGTTCCCATTTCCTTCCACACATTGAGGAAATTTTCAACAATTATTTACTCAAAAATACTGTTTATCCCTTTGTCTCTCTTCTTCTGGTACCTCTATTATGTGAATATTGTTTCAACTGATTGGTCACACAGCTCTTTTATCATTCTTTCATTCTGAGAGATCCATTTTTCTCTCTGTTCCTCAGCCTTGTTGTGTTCTTGTTATCTAATTTCCATCTTATCATCTCCTCTACTTGCAACAATCTATTATTCATTCCCTTCATTACACATTTCATTTCAGTTACTGTATTCTTCAGCTCTGAGGGGTTCTTTTCAGCTTTTTTATCTCTTTGTTGAAATCTTCCCTGACATCTTCAACACTTCTATGCAAATCAGTGAGCATATTCATGTTTTGAAATCTTTATTAATAAGACTGGTGATCCCCATTTCATTTAGCCCTTTATTGGGTGTCTTATTCTGTACTTTTGTTTGGAACATATTCCTCTGCCTCCTCATTTTGTCAGGGTTTGTGTGTTTCTTCTTTTGTACTAGATGGATCTGCTATGCTTCCTGGTCTAGAGAATAATGGCTTTATGAAGAAGGCATCCTGTGGTGCTTAGAAGCTTAAGACTCTTTCCTCTCCAGTGCCTGGTTCTCTTTTGTTGTGGAGCCAGTTGCTATTGGCAGACAATGGGCAGGGCCACCTCTTTGTAGGTTTGCCAAAAGTGGTTTATCTGAGTCTGCTGAGGCTTGCAGTTTGCTCCAGCAGGCCCTTTGTGATCAGAATCCATGGGTACATGGTGGTGGGAAGGCTGTGTGGTGGGAAGGCATGTGGGTGGTGGAGGTGGTGAGTCCCTCCATGGTGGTGTGCAGCTGCTGCAGCAAGTCACATTGGTACCCCCTGGATGACTTGAATCTGGTATCTGCAGGTGCTTCTGTAATTGTGCTGAGACAGGGCCAAGAATGTGATACTGCTGGACTGAGAGGACTGGTGTGTCAGTGGTGCTTAGTGAAGCTCCCTCATGGCTAAGTCACCAGCAAAGGGGGATGCAGCATCTGGGGCTCCTGAGAGTTCCTGACCTGTTGGGCTGAGGGAGGGATGAAGAAGTTTTGGCCATTTGCCCTTTTTCCTCACAAGAGAGATCTGTCCAACCCTCGCCCCTATGGCACCCACCGTTGGCAAGTCTTTCAAACTGCTACCTGTGTGTTGGGTCTCATCAGGACTAGTGGAGTGTGCCTGTCCTCCACAGGTGGATGGAGTATCAACTTTCCAGAGGGTTCTAACTGTCTCTCATGTCCAGCCCCACTAATCACCAGAACCCAGTGCAATATGGACTATGTTCCTGGAGCAGATCTCCAGGGCCAGGTGTGCAGAATTCCTGGCTGCCTATCTCCTCCCTACTTCATTTCTCTTCCTTCTGCCTATGGGCGGGGATAGGAGAAGGGCTTGGGTTTCATTTTATTACAGCTCTGTCACTTTAGTCTTTCTGTGTGGTCTTTTCTTCTTCACCAGTTGTAGTGGTCTGTTCTGCATTCTTCAGGTCATTTTCAGGTTTAGTTGTATTTGCTATAGTTGCTTCTTTGGTGTGTGGTGGGGAGGAGGTTTTGCCCTGCATTCCTATTCCACCATCTTCTACCTCATCATCCAGAAATTCACTTTGATTGGCTAAATGTGGGCCTTTGTTTTCATTTGAAGAGGTATTTTCTGATACAAAACCAGATAAGTCCACAATGAGACGGTGGGTTTTACAACGTCCACCTTCTAAGTTCATCAGCTGGCTAGAAGGGAAAACACTTCTGGATAGGATACATGCTAAGCTTGGGTATATATCACTTCCTCCACACAGGGCCATGAAGAGCTGCCCCAGCAGCACCAAGCTCCATTCTCTACCAAAAGCCTAAGATTTTCAAAATGAAAAGAGGTTGACTCATTCTTCTCCAACATCTCAATTTCTAGTGATTATAAACTCTAAGTTTCAGTGTTCTTTCATATTGATTACATGTCTTTAGAAAATCTTTAGAGATATAATGAAAAGTATCTGCTCTATTTGGCTACAAACCAATATTTTAAAACAATACCTAGTATGTTAAATTTATTTATTCATCAGACTTTAAACTGATAAATCTATTTACATCACATATCTCCTACTTCCAGATACAGGTTTTGTTTCAGTTGCAACAAGTTGCAACATATAACATCCCAGGGCATATACTGAACCAAAAATAAGTACTGTGCAAATGGGGAGAACCTCTTCAACATTTACACATGTCATCAATATGTTTAAACACATACTTTCTAGCATTATAACAAATAACTGGTATATAAAGAAATAATAAATATCAAAGGCTATTTCTGGGATTCTAAATTCAAGATTTCTTGCTATTTAATAAAACTTTACAAACATACTTAATCAATTCATTTAGAAATACACTCCTGATGACTTAGTCTTTTATCTTGGCAATTTTTCACATTTATCATCAAATTATTCATACGATAAATACCAGGAAAAACAACTTTACTGACAATAGGAAAACAGTCCACATGTGAGTCATTCACATAGATTATCTTGTCATATTTACAGTCACATCTATAAAGACAGTCTTCCATTTTAGGGAGAAAGAAATGGATCATTTAGAAGGTGTTACAATGTCCTGTGAAAATGCTGGAAAAAATGTTTCCAGGATAATGTCTTAAGTTGATCTGTTCATCTTTCCCCAAAAGAAGAAAATCTTTCCCTATGTTGCATGTGCTTATGTCTGATTAATTAGCTTATAAACACAGTTTCTTGTGTTTTTGAATCATATATTACATTTATCTTTTATCTTTTTTTATAGGGTAAGAAAGAAACAGAGAAAGTTTTTATCACCTCTGCCAATTCTGAGCAGCACCCTGCAGTCATTACGTTTTTATGTTTATCTGCAGAAAGTGCATACTAGGTGCTCAATGAATATGTTGTCGAATATTGTTGAAAGAGACTGACCTTGATTACTTCCAGATACAAAAATATCTAGGTCTACCTTCTAACCCAATGCTGATTCAATTTAACAATGACTGTTGGTTTCTTTTATTCACCTGGGCTAACAGAACAATAGAAGTTCAATAAGATCTGCATTACTACTTGTAACATTTAGAATTTTTATTCATATAGGCTGAGGTCTGCTTGTTTTGCAGGCTACAGAAAAGGTTTTGTTAAGCAAATGCATATTGTAAAGAGTTTTTGAGACAAATGTTCACTGTGCTCCAAAGAGCATGTTGTCGTCAACATGCCTCAAGCACTTTCTTGTAGGCTCTTATATGAAAGCAGCAGATGCTATTCATAAATAATTTATTTCCTCATTTAAATCGATACCCTAAGAACCCCTAGGAGTAAAAATTGTTAATCGTGTATATTTAATAAATATCCATCCCATCCAAATAGTCTACCATCATCCCCAAAATGTTAATATTTTTATCTTAAGGGTGATGGAATTCAGATTTTTTTCTTTTCTTTTTTTGGTAGTGTTTGAAGGTTTTCAATGCACAAGCATTATTTACAAAATCTGAAAAATATGTACTTTTACATGAAAAAAATCTAATATATTTTTCTCTTCAAAAATTATCAAAATGACTTGAGGAAGAGTGTATTCCTATTCTATACTTAGTAAACCTTCAAATATATACTGAGTAAAACAGTAAAGGAACTGAAGCATTTGTTTAAAACAGTGATTTCTAAATACCTTTAGAACACAATTTCATTCCCATAATGGATACATTTCCCAACTACACGTAAAGCCAAGTTTATACATTATGCACTAAAAATCAATGAAAAGACATTGCTGATTTAAGGGATTCTACAATGCTTTTCTTTAATCAAGAAATCTTTGTGCAAAGTAACCAATCAAATATATACAGTATGGATGAAAATGATAATCAGAACTGCTGAATATAGCATACAGCTTCATGTTATTTTTCAATGATGGCATAAATATTTTGAAGCAAATATATCACAATTGCCACATGAATTTTTTTCTTATTTTGTATTTTTAAACTTTCCACTGTACCTGTAATGAGGTGAAGGGTTGCCTCTTGCTTCACAATGAAAAGTTATTTTTTTATCCTCTGAACCAACAGGGAAAATGCTGTTGCTGGGCTCTCTGATAAACACGGGGCCTTGTAAGAGCAGCTCACCTAAATGGTGGAAGACAGTCAAAAAACAACCACAGTAAGTAAAAGGTATTGTAAAAGCTGCATTCTGGAACTGAAGAAGAAAAACAAGCCCCTAGTGTCTGCTCTTTAAAAAAAGAAGAAAAAGCAAACATTGCCTCGCCTGTCCACAGAGCAACAAGCTCTGTAGGCATGGCTCTGTTTTTGACCATCAGCAGTGCCGTTTCTGAGACAATGAAATTTAGAAGTATAAATAAGTCTGTACTCACTACTTTTCATAACACAAACTCTACCTAAATTTTCACTGGGGAATAATCTATCAT